AGGGCGGGCGGGCGGTTATATAACGTCTATTGTTACGGGGGCGGGCGGGACGAGTTAGAGGAAAATGATACGGAGCACGGGCGGGGTGATTTAAACCAATGGTCCACGGGGACGGGTAGACGGAAGTCACGGGACGGGGCCCGCGGGGCATGAAAGTTCCTTGCCCCGCACGTCTCTGTCCAGAAGTGTGATTCGTAAGAGGAACAACAACAATATCAAATCATAAGTATGGTGCTTTTCAGAGTTGTGTACCACTCGGTAAGTCTGGTAAGTCGAAAATGTAACAATATTGTTTTAAGTAATTCATTTTTTTGTCAGCCAAATAATTTCAGTAACCCGAAAAAACTTCCGAACATACACTTCGAAGTGTCCTCTACAAACCGGGAAGGCTTGAAGAAAAAATTCAAAAGTTGAAAATATCGTTAGTTTTTGGCTCACCGAAGATCTTTTTACCTAACCTTACGGCTAGTTTTGCCCAAAACTGTGAGTACAGAAGTTGTTCAGACTCGAATTTTGGAGTTCTTAACGACTAACAAGCGGCTGTAAAATTAAACCAAATTAAAACTGTGTAAAGTCGAGTTTCATATTTATATGCAGTTAAATGTTGAAATAATTTGTTTAATGTTCTGTTAAAAATGTTACACTGAATAATGTTCAGATGTGGGAATATGGTCACGAATGCCACACAAAGAACAAAAACTCATTAAACATCGTAGAACCCGATAGTAAGTGGACATTATTTAGCATCAACATTTTTAATAGTCATGTAGGAAAAAGCTGATCCTCTACAATGTCGTACATTCCATTGGGCATAAACATTATCTAATTGAACATATGGTCTTTGGTCTGTATTTGCAACACGATATTCTGAACGACTACTCTCTTCGTTTTGTTCTTTTAACACTAGAAAATCCTTGAGAAATACAAAAAGTCACTATTATTCCACTAAAGACAACCCTGAATAAAATTATATATTACTTGTATTCGCTTTCGCGATATTACAGACTGTTGAAAATGCATCAATGCCCCGGGGAAAGCAAATAATAATGTATATTTTAAAGCTACAAATAAAGGAAATTAATTGATGACACGTACTTTGTTTCATACTGTACAAACTTTGAAATAGAATAAAAGCAAGTGCAAATAGTTCCACATCAAACGGTATATTGTAGTACCATAAAAGTC